CAGGATGCTGGAGTGAATTCTGACCCAGGGTTCACCAAGCCATTCCTTCCCGTCCTGACTTGAATCAATGATTCAAATGGGTCACAGCTCCTGGGGCCGGGGAGATGGCTCAGTAGGATAAGCACTTGACTGGCAAATGCAAGGATCTGAGTTCAATCCCCGGTTCCACAAAAAAAAAAAAAAAAAAAAAAAAAACAACAACAAATGGGTGTGGAGGATCATGAGGCCACACAAGGCTTTTCTTGTTGTGTACGTCCAGCAGTTAAGTCTTCTCAAACTATCAACAAACGCAGAGTAGTTAAGGAGGCGTCCTCCAGTAAAACCCGCAGCCCCTTTTATTTGAGCCAAATGTAGTAACTGTCCTATGAATGGCAAACTTAAACTTACAAGCAAAAAATTTTCTGTTTCCACTCAGGACAGGAAATTTCAGATTCAGTATCTTCATGCTATGCCCAGACTTTGATGATAAAGGAACCAAACCTCGCAGAAATCACCACCAGTAATGCAATACAGCATGACTCAATCATCTGTGTCATCACAGGACTGAAGACAAAAAGAAACAAGCCACACTGCCGAATTTTAATAAAATGATTTTCTGAAGTAGCGAGTACGTCACTGGCGGAGTTACCTTGTACAATATAGCATGTTACATGTATAGATGGAGAAAAAGTAAGAAGAAAAATATATTTATATGCTGAGTGAGGCACTTACTGTTTACAAAGCGAGGGGACATCTTCTTTACAAAGAGGTTGGTATGGGCTGGAAGTTTGGTCTCCTCTCCCTAAATTCAGAAGCTGAACTCCTAATCTCCAGTGTAGGCAGTTAGGCTCACAACAGCAGAGGTGGGACCCCATGGCCCAGCAGGAAGACAGAGAAATGTCTTCTCGTGTGCACTTGATGAAAAAAAAAAAGCCACCCGAGGACACGGTGAGCAGCTGCCCGCAAGCCAGCACGGAGGCCCTTGCCAGGAGCCAGGGTCATCGCATCCTGGCCTTAGACTTCCCAGTCTGCACAGTTCTGAGAAACACCATGATCGTGCAGCCTGCTGCCCTGCCTTGCATGACATCGTTTTGTGACAGCCACTCAAGCAGATCCACACAGTGTCAACCACCACGAACCCATTCAGCTAACCTCTCATTTGAAACTTCAGTCTTAAAGCTTCCTCTTTTTTTTTTTTAAAAGAAAGTTTTAAAAAGAGTGGGAAGACATTTCAAATCATACACAGCAATCTACGAAGATTTCTCTGGGAACTACTGCAGGCTTGCTGTTCCTGCTCCTGGGAAGGGCTTTTGTTTATTTTTTGGAAAGAAGGAAAGTCTTCTCACCTACCACACTCTAGTGATAGTAATCAACACCACAACTGTGAAAATAAAACACAGCCTTTTCAACCCTGGAAAGCCATCAGAGTGGTACCTACATGGAGTCTTTCAAATAGCAGGTATCTCTGAATTATTTATGAGAGGCAATGAAATCATCCTTGTTGAAATTGATAGCTTTCTTCATTAAGTATTTAAATTAAAATGACTCAAGTATTCTTTGTTATCTATAAATACATAAGCATAAGGAAATGAATTAAACTTTTGAAGGAAAGAAACTTTGAGCATGTATTTGGAATAAACACTGCCAAAGGTCAGATTCCAAACACAGAGATGCACGCTGGGACACAGCAGAGCATAATTCTCAGTGATGGAGAGGAAGCAGCCCTCGAGTAACCAAAAGGGACGTTCCCCTTGTGCCGTGGCCACTGTAACTCAGTGCTGTAGTTTGCCAGCCTCCACTGACAGTCTCCATGCCTTTAAGCATGAGAGTCCTGCTGTTTACCAGGAGCAGCGACAACAAGGGTCACTGTAAAGGAGCCGCAGAGTCCCCCACGTGCTCAGGAACCCCATCCCTGAACATCCAGCACCTTCCAGAACACTGCTTCCATCCAACCCACCATGTTTTAAAATTCAGGCCTCCATCAGCAACTGCTAGCCGCTTAGCTGAGATCAGGAAAAAGGATACAGACTTGCTCTAGGACAGCCACACGAGATACAAGGGCTTTACACTGTGCAAACGTAAATGACTGTTTCGGACCTGTCCTCCTCCTCCCAGGGCCATGCCAGGGCTGCTCCATGGCTGAGGCAGCTGAGGGAAGCAAAACTGGTCCAAGGCCTGTCAGTCTGGTTTTGGGCAGGAGCCCTCCAGGCACTCCAGGCTGCCTCCACACTGCTTGGATCTTTCGCCCACAGCGGTTCTGCTGACTGAACCTGACCCTGTCACCCAACTCATTCTTCTAGAAGCTTTCCCAGGCTCCTTGCAAACTGCGCTAGGCGACAGTTTTCTCTGGGCAAAAAACAGATCCATCTTGACAGTGCATTTGCATCCTCGTAGGGGCCTGCTGTGTTATCTGGTCACCTTTATTACTGACCACCGAGCATGCTTAAGCAACACTTGCCAGGGGGTTAGCATGAGGTGACAACTGAATCCTTACCACAGTCCTTGGGGTGGGCATGATCACCTTCCTACCTCATAGCCAGGGAAGCACCTGCACAGACATTTCAGGTCACTCCAGGAGCTGAATTCACACCCAGACAGCCACTGCTTCTCCAAGTAGCATGTAGCTGTTAGACAGAGACGCCAACTGCCTGGTCCAGGGCCTCAAAGACTAGCTTTACAGTAGACAGTATGAACCCAGGACCCAAGAAACACTGAATAATGGGAAAGGGTTAAGCAGCCAGTTAGACAAATAAGGAAAGAGAAGCCTCACAGCATTGCATAATGAAGTATAAAAAACAAGTGTTACAGACAATATGAATACTTCTGGGGTCCTGAGTAAGGAGCCCATAATACCTGTAGGGGTTGGCAAGAGAGGTGGGGGCTTCCATGGAACCCTGAAAGATGGGAAGGCTTCACCTTAGGCAAAGATGAATGGGGAAACAGCTCTAGCATAGGGAATGAAAAGGAAGTATTTAGGCACAGGGGCCCAGGGCTCAATCCCCAGGCCTGCCATGCTGGCCCCGCCCCCGGGGTGCACTGAGATGGCAATTGAGACTGGGCGTGGTGGCGTATGCCTGTGATCCCAGCTCTTGGGAGGCTGTAAAAACGATAGATCACTATAAGTCTGATCTAGTACTGAGAGCCTGAACACCCTGTAGACCATTCCCTAAAATACACACAAAAAGAAAGAATTTATACCAGGCAGGTGAGCCACATGAGGTTACAAGATAGCAAGAGAGAACACTGGGCTTTGACTATCCGGCTGAGGCTGATGCAACACAAAATAAAACTCTAGAGACCTAGGCCTCTGAGAGAGGCCTTTTGTTAACCCATCAGCTGTAATTTTTTTTTTTTTTTTTTTTTTGTGGAACTGGGAATTGAACTCAGGGCCTTGCGCTTGCCAGGGAAGTGCTTATTCTACTGAGCCATCTCCCACATAATCATTAACAGCTATAAATTGAGCACCAGCCATTAGAGGGCACAGTTCCCACGGGGATGTCCACGCAGTGGGGGACACGGGTAAGCACACAAAGAGCATGCTGTGCCAAATGTTAAAACAAGAGCAGGCACAGGTGACACCGAAGTCCTTGGGCCAGCCCTCAAGGGAGACTTGAAAGCCATGAAGCGTGCCCTGGAAGAGAAGTGGACCCTGAGCCAGAGGGCCTGCGCAAAGACTGTGGGATTCCAGAGGAGTGGGAGAGAGTGGCGCCCCAGCTCCTGCGGGCTTCGAGCCCTGGGAAAGCTTTTCCGGGCTCAGAGCATTGGTCTGCTCGTCTGCACATGAGGAACATCAGAATGCTTTTCCCACGTGGTGGCCGTAGCCCGAAGGGTGGAAGAGTGGAGGGCATGCTGGCCTTGCCTAGTGCAGCGCTTGGTGCACACACTAGAGCATTCCGACATGTCGCTTCTTCGGAGAGTAACAGGAAGCCCAAAGAGGACAAAGCCAGAACACAGCATGGCCACATTCATAGTTCATACAGATCGCCCATCCGAGCTGCAGTCTGGACAGAAGAGGGCAGGGGTTCAATACTCTGTGACTTGTATCTCATACAACATTTTGTAGTATCTTGAAATAAACCTGTCACGCTGTCCTCACTCCTTTCTGTGTATCTGGAAATAGCTCTAGACCTGATCTAGACCTGGTTTTATTACTGCTATCTTTTCTCAGATTTCTCCTGTCTATACAACAAGAGTATGAACTCGCTAGGAATATAGTATTTTGCATATTGCCCTTTACTTCTGCAATCTTGCATCAAATACTGATTATTCTTATAAGCACTTGGTGACAATGTATATATGAGTTTATTAAAGTTTAACATGATCAGAGATTAATTTTAGAAGTAGAGCAAAATCCCAGATGTTCTCTTGGCTTTGACCAATCAATGCCTCTTTGAGCCTCTTTTTATTTTAAATGTAAAAAGGAGACAAAAATACAAACTCAAGGCAACAAACTCACAGAGGAACTCTAGGGCCTAAATAAAAACCACGTAAAAATGCATTTTGTTAATTGAAAAGCAATGCCTGAACACTGGGTGGTGGTTGCAATTTTATTGCAGGAAATGGAGTTGCCCCCAAAGCATTCTTCCCAGGTGAGTGTTCTAGGGTTCTCCGGCACCACCCCTGGACCAGGTTAGTTTTCCACCCATCAATACTTGTGGGTTTATGCCCAAGTTCATCCCCCAGCCCGCAGCCTGATGGGAGGTACGGGGCACAGACTCACTAGAGAAAAAACAGACTGGAGCGATCAGTATCTCTTAAAGAGCAGTAACTAGGCATTTAAAATGTTTTCCTCTTTGGGTCACTCACATTTGTAACAACAGAAATCTGCATGAAAGGAGCTGAAACCTACTCTAGATTTCCCTTCCATCTGCTGAAAGAGTGAAAGAAAGGAACTATTTTTATCGCTAAAGGGCGGGGAAGCCACTGCTAACCATAAAGGTGGAATAATCATAAAAGGCTAAGTGGATTTTCACTTTTACTTTGCAGACAGAAACAATTAAATGTCAAGTTTTAGAATTTTCAACTTAGGCACTTTCAATTGCATCAACCATCATGCAAGCAGATTCCTACTTATTTTAGGCTTTTAATTAATCATTGTTTCAAAAAGCATAGTTTAAAGCTGGCTCTCGAACCTCATTTCCTGCTACCTTTTAAATAAACTTCCTGCCTTAACACAAGCCCAGCATTAAGAACACACAACACTTCATATTGTAGCCCTTCTGTAAAAAACATTTTTTTTTTGCCAAGACACTGAACTGCCCAAACCATACTTGAGCTTACGCTCCTCTTGCCTCAGGCTCCCAGAGTGCTGGCATTGCAGACACGCACCACCGTGTCTAAGTATGCAACTCTTGCCCCCTTTCTATTAACGTGTTTTCTCAGGAAGGGTCCTAAAAGGGCGACTACGGTCACGTGGAAGCTGGGAAGTCTACACATCAAACTGGAGCCCACGAAGTACAAATGGCCAATAAATACGGGAAAGACGGGTCAGCATGGCCGGCCAGGAGGGAAATGAAAATTACACCAACCCTGAGGTTCCAACTTGCTCCAGAAAGGACGGTCATGAGAAAATTGAGTAGTAACAACTGCCCATGCGGGGAGGGAGATGAGCGTTTCCACACTGCTGGTGGGAACCTAAACAATCGCTACGGAAACCTGTAAGAGAGTCCTCAAAATACTGAAACTAGAAATGCCATCCAACCTGGCTTTTCCTCTTCTAGGTATCGTCCCCAAAGAGTTAAAGATGTCATACTACAGAGATGCCAATACAACACAGCTCACAATAGCTACATCTTAAAAGCAGTCTCTTCGCCCATCAACAGAGAAATGGATAAAGAAAATGTGGTATTTATATAAAATGGAGCACTAGTCTGCCATAAAGAAGGAAGCATTTCAGTCATTTTTTTTTT